GGAGAGGGATCGGCGACAACTTTGATTGCCGCGTCTACTCCGATTGCCAAGCCGACTCCGATTGCCAGAACTACTCCGGTCGCCAGGTCTACTTCGATTGGCGCGTCTATTCCGATTGCCTCGTCTACTCCGATGGCGGGGGCTACTCCCGCGTCGGCTCCGATTGCCGCGTCTACCCCATCGGCCTCGCCAGAAGATGCTGGGACCCTTGAAGTTGCAGATGATCACTGCCATGGGCGCGCGGGCCGAGGCTCCGAGGCGGGAGGTAGCGTGAGGCCGCCGCCTGCTGTTCAGTCAAATTCAGAATCTAGTTCCCGTCTGAGACGCAGGGCCCCCCTCCCCTCGACTGCTGCTGCTACTGCCCCTCGCCTCACTCACTCCGCCTCCCTCGATGCCAGTATCTTGCGACTTATAAGAGCGATGCCCAGACGTTCCCGTGGAGACGAACCCCCGTCCTAGGGCCGTTCGGTTTTCTGTCGGAATCTTCCCGAGGGCGCCTTCGCATGGGCTGGGCGAAGACTCCCTCCTCGGGATAAGCGGCCGTTTTGCCTCGCTTACTTGTTTCCCTTGGTCTCGGGCGCTCCGAAATTTTACGTCGGTTTCAGGAGAGTTGGCTTTGAGTTCGTTTCTGTTCTCCCTATGCCTGCTACCAGATAGTAGCCCACCGTTGTTGTGGAAGCTGGGGCGCCTTGGGAACCAGGGAAACATCTGTTCTGGTCTCCTGAGATGCGTTTGAACCCCCTCCAAGTGCAAAGCACCGCTGTGCGTAGCGCACTCGAGGAGCTGGAGCTTGCTTTTATAGCTGTAGTGTTGGAAGTCTTGACTCGCGCCCCTGATGAGCGTGCCGTGCCTCTCCCTCCCTCTCCTCCTCAATCCTCCTCGTCCCCCCCCTCCTTTCCCCCTTCTCCGCTACTCCTCGCCCTCACCCTTATCCTTCATCATTTTTTCCCTGGTCCTCCTCCTGTCTCGTCCTCCCCCTACCCCTCCAGCTCCCTTTCTTTCTCTCCTCCTCTCCCCATCTGTCCCCTCCATCCCCCTCATTATGCTCCGCCTCTCTTCCCCGACCCCGTAGTGTCGCAACATGTTCTCCTCCAGTTTCCCCCCGTCCGCCTTCGATGCGACAGGGGGGCGAGGCCAGTGGCCTGACCGTTCACGATTCGTTCCCCGCAAGTCTACCTATTTCCCCCCCCCCCCCCCCCCCCCCCCCCCCCCCTGCCAACGCGCGCAACGGCCTCCTTGGCCAAGACGCTCCACGACCTGGCATATGGAGAGGAGGAGGAGGAAGAGCAGGAGGTCGATGCAGAAGAAGAAGAAGAAGAAGAAACTTAGCCTGGCGAAGGACCCAACCATATGCAGTTGTGAATACCGCAAATCTGACTATCGTTTTCGGTGGCGCTACCTCTGGGTAGGGGAGACGCATGCGAACACCCACATTGGGGCCTTCGATGGAACTCCCTATGGGGCTGCGAGGCGCTGCCCTGGGTGGGGGAACCGCATGCGGGCACCCCCACTGGGGTCTTCGGTGGAGCCCCCAATGGGGCTACGAAGCGCTGCCCTGGGTGGGGGAACCGCATGCGGGCACCCCCACTGGGGCCTACGGTGGAGCTCCCTATGGGGCTGCGAAGCGCTGCCCTGGGAGGGGGAAGCCGCATGCGAACACCCCCACTGGGGCCTTCGGTGGAGCTCCCTATGGGCCTACGAAACGCTGCCCTGGGTGGGGGGACCGCATGCGGGCACCCCCACTGGGGCCTTCGGTGGAACTCCCTATGAGGCTACGAAACGCTGCCCTGGGTGGGGGCACCGCACGCGGGCACCCCACTGGGGCCCACGGTGGAGCTCCCTATGGGGCTGCGGAACGCTGCCCTGGGCGGGGGAACCGCATGCGGGTACCCCCACTGGGGCCTACGGTGGAGCTCCCTATGGGGCCACGAAGCGCTGCCCTGGTTGGGGGAACCGCATGCGGGCACCCCCACTGGGGCCTTCGGTGGAGCTCCCTATGGGCCTACGAAGCGCTGCCCTGGGTGGGGGGGCCGCATGCGGGCACCCCCACTGGGGCCTTCGGTGGAGCCCACTTATGAGGCCACGAAGCGCTGCCCTGGTTGGGGGAACCGCATGCGGGCTCCCTATATGGGGCCACGAAGCGCTGCCCTGGGTGGGGGAACCGCATGCGGGCACCCCCGCTGGGGCCTTCGGTGGAGCTCCCTATGGGCCTACGGAGCGCTGCCCTGGGTGGGGGAACCGCATGCGGTCACCCCCACTGGGGCCTTCGGTGGAGTTCCTTATGGGGCTACGAAACGCTGCCGTGGGCGGGGGAACCGCACGCGGGCAGGAGGAGGGGGGGTGGGGAGGAGGGGGGAAGGAAGGAAGGAAGGAAGGAAGGAAGGAGACGCGGGGCGCTGTCTCTTCAAAACGAGGACCCAGCGCCACAGGATGGTTGGGAAATAATATGGACCTGCGGGTGCCAGCGAAGCAGGACAAACATTAGCCTGGCGAAGGACCCAACCATATGCAACTGTGAATACCGCAAGTGTGAATATCGTTTTCGGCGGCGCTACCTCTGGGTAGTGGAGACGCATGCGAACACCCCCACTGGGGCCTTCGGTGGAGCTCCCTATGGGGCTACGAAACGCTGCCCTGGGTGGGGGAACCGCATGCAGGCAACCCCACTGGGGCCTTCGGTGGAGCTCCCTGTGAGGCTACGAAACGCTGCCCTGGGTGGGGGAACCGCATGCGGGCACCCCCACTGGGGCCTACGGTGGAGCTCCCTCTGGGGCTACGAAACGTTGCCCTGGGTGGGGGAACCGCATGTGGACACCCCCACTGGGGCCTTCGGTGGAGCTCCCTATGGGGCTACGAAACGCTGCCCTGGGTGGGGGAACCGCATGTGGACACCCCCTCTGGGGCCTTCGGTGGAGCTCCCTCTGGGGCTACGAAACGCTGCCCTGGGTGGGGGAACCGCATGCGGCACCCCCACTGGGCCTTCGGTGGAGCTCCCTATGGGGCTACGAAACGCTGCCCTGGGTGGGGGAACCGCATGTGGACACCCCCACTGGGGCCTTCGGTGGAGCTCCCTCTGGGGCTACGAAACGCTGCCCTGGGTGGGGGAACCGCATGTGGACACCCCCACTGGGGCCTTCGGTGGAGCTCCCTATGGGGCTACGAAACGCTGCCCTGGGTGGGGGAACCGCATGTGGACACCCCCACTGGGGCCTTCGGTGGAGCTCCCTATGGGGCTACGAAACGCTGCCCTGGGTGGGGGAACCGCATGTGGACACCCCCACTGGGGCCTTCGGTGGAGCTCCCTATGGGGCCACGAAACGCTGCCCTGGGTGGGGGAACCGCATGTGGACACCCCCACTGGGGCCTTCGGTGGAGCTCCCTATGGGGCCACGAAACGCTGCCCTGGGTGGGGGAACCGCATGTGGACACCCCCACTGGGGCCTTCGGTGGAGCTCCCTATGGGGCTACGAAACGCTGCCCTGGGTGGGGGAACCGCATGTGGACACCCCCACTGGGGCCTTCGGTGGAGCTCCCTATGGGGCCACGAAACGCTGCCCTGGGTGGGGGAACCGCATGTGGACACCCCCACTGGGGCCTTCGGTGGAGCTCCCTATGGGGCCACGAAACGCTGCCCTGGGTGGGGGAACCGCATGTGGACACCCCCACTGGGGCCTTCGGTGGAGCTCCCTATGGGGCTACGAAACGCTGCCCTGGGTGGGGGAACCGCATGCGAACACCCCCACTGGGGCCTTCGGTGGAGCTCCCTATGGGGCCACGAAACGCTGCCCTGGGTGGGGGAACCGCATGCGACACCCCCACTGGGGCCTTCGGTGGAGCTCCCTATGGGGCTACGAAACGCTGCCCTGGGTGGGGGAACCGCATGCGACACCCCCACTGGGGCCTTCGGTGGAGCTCCCTATGGGGCCACGAAACGCTGCCCTGGGTGGGGGAACCGCATGTGGACACCCCCACTGGGGCCTTCGGTGGAGCTCCCTATGGGGCTACGAACGCTGCCCTGGGTGGGGGAACCGCATGTGGACACCCCCACTGGGGCCTTCGGTGGAGCTCCCTATGGGGCACGAAACGCTGCCCTGGGTGGGGGAACCGCATGCGAACACCCCCACTGGGGCCTTCGGTGGAGCTCCCTATGGGGCTACGAAACGCTGCCCTGGGTGGGGGAACCGCATGCGAACACCCCCACTGGGGCCTTCGGTGGAGCTCCCTATGGGGCCACGAAACGCTGCCCTGGGTGGGGGAACCGCATGCGAACACCCCCACTGGGGCCTTCGGTGGAGCTCCCTATGGGGCTACGAAACGCGTGAGAGGTGTGCCGAGAGCAGAGGCGAGGAGGGGGAGGAGGGGGAGGAGGAGGAGGAGAGGAGAGGAACGCGGGGCACCGTGTCTTCAAAACGAGGACCCAACACCACAGGATGGTTGGGAACAACCAAGGCGGTGCAGCTTGGCCTGGCGAGGATGGGTTCGACGCTAGCAGGGCGGGAGTGGAGGCGGTTCGCACCTTCGAGTATGCATAACGATGCGCTCGCCACACTGTGCTTATGAGGAGGCGGCTCACACCCTAAGCAGCACGAAAGAACCGTGCGCGCGCCACACACAGACACACACAGACACACAGACACACCCACACGCACCCTGGGCTCCACAACTCCCGCCGCAGGAGCTGCGCGCTGGAATGCGGCACGTTTCCAGGCATGCCTTCGCATCAGTGTTCCCGCCTGTACACAGCCAGTAAGTTCGTTGTCCCGTTCCCAGGGGTACCCTGGCGGCGGGTTGCAAATGTAACGGATGGCATTCCCTCACAAAGAAAATATATGTCCGCGTTGATTTAGTTCAGAGGCCGTATACCCCCGCATAAACCGATGTGTTGCCAAAGCTGGCGTGAGCCTGTAGGCGGCGCGCAACCGGTCTCGAATGTGTTCTGCGGAACCGACGTCTCCTCGTTCAGTCCATGCTTTCGACATCTCTCCGCCCCCGGGCTGCAGGCGATGGGAGGTCGCGAGGACGCGATCCCTTACGGCGACTTGCGGCGGGACTTCGGGCTGGCGACCATTGACTTCGTGCGCTGGCTGGCGGGCTACCGCTTCAGGACGAACAGCCTTGTTTCCTGCCGTGGAGGTCAGAACTTGCACACGGCCACCCACTCGGGAACCGATGCCCCAGTACGTACCGTCGTGGATATTGACAGTGTTAGGCCCACAGCAGTCTCCGGCACATCCCACTACCTTGCCTGGGTTGTGACCCAGAGGACCAGAGGCCTTTCAGAGATTCTTGGGGTCTCTTAGGAGGCCTCTCGGGTGCATCTTGGAGTCTAAGCGCGGTCTCTTGAGGGTCTCGAGGGGCCTCGAGAAGTTGGGTTCATCTCTGTCTCTTTCTCTTCCCCTCTTTTTCGCAACCATCCTGTGGTGATGGGTCCTCGTTGTGGAGACAGCGCCCCGCGCTCTCCCGCCTCCTGCCCCTCCTCCTTCCTCCCTATCCGTGCCTCTGCCCTCCGCCCAGTACAGCGTTTCGTGGCCCCATAGGGAGCTCCACCGAAGGTCCCAGTGGCGGAACTCACTTGCGGTTCTTGCGCCCAGTGCGATGTTTCGTGGCCCCATAGGGAGCTGTGGCGAAAGTCGCATGCGGTTCCTGCGCCCAGTGCAGCGTTTCGTGGCTTCGTAGGGAGCTCCACCGAAGGCCCCAGGGGCGGAACTCGCATGCGCTTCCTGCGCCCAGTGCAGCGTTTCGTTGCTTCGTAGGGAGCTCCACCGAAGGTCCCAGTGGCGGAGCTCGCATGCGGTTCTTCCGAAGGTCCCAGTGGCGGAACTCGCATGCGGTTCTTGCGCCCAGTGCAGCGCCTCGTGGCTTCATAGGGAGCTCCACCGCAGGTCCCAGAGGCGGAACTCGCATGCGGTTTCTGCGCCCAGTGCAGCGTTTCGTGGCTTCGTAGGGAGCTCCACCGGAGGTTACTGTGGCGGAATTTGCACGCGGTTCTTGCGCCCAGAACAGCGTTTCGTGGCCCCATATGGAGCTCCACAGGTCCCAGTGGCGGAATTTGCATGCGGTTCTTGCGCCCAGTATAGCGTTTCGTTGCCCCATAGGGAGCTCCACCGAAGGTCCCAGTAGCGGAACTCGCATGCGGTTCTTGCGCCCAATACAGCTTGTCGTGGCCCCATCGGGAGTTCCACCGAAGGCCCCAGTGGCACCGCCCGCCTGCGTCACCCCCACCCAGTGCAGCGTTTCGTGGCCCAACAATGAGCTTCACCGAAGGCCCCAGCGGCACCGCCCGCATGCGTCACTTCAGCCCAGTACAGCGCTTCGTAGCCCCATGGGGAGCTCCACCGAAGGCCCCAGTGGCACCGCCCGCATGCGCCACCCCCACTCAGTACATCATTTCGTGGCCCCATAGGGAGCTCAACCGAAGACCCCAGTGGCTGCACTGACATGCGGTTCCCGCGCCCAGTACAGCTGTTCGTGGCCCCATGAGATTCTCCACCGAATGCCTCAGTGGCGATGTTCGCATGCGTTCCCACACCCAGTACAGCGTTCCGTGGCCCCATAAGAAGCTCCACTGAAGGCCCCAGTGGTCGTGTTCGCATGCGCTCCCCCCGCCCAGCACAGCGCTTCGTGGCTCCATGGGGAGCTCCACCGAAGGCCCCAGTGGCGGCCTCGCCCCATTGCGGCGCACCCCTCGCACGTTTCGCGGCCCCGTAGTACGTTCCGCCTAAAGCACCAGTGGCAGCGCCCACATGGCGGCTCCGCCCCACATCGGCACACCCTTCGCATGCTTCAGGGCCCAATTAGGAGATCCCCCGACGGCGGTACCCGAAACGACGATACTCACAACTGTTTTGGTCTGACCCCTCGCCAGGATAATTGTTGTGGTATCTCTCTCTGCCTACATGTATCTATGTATGTTTTATACATATGTATATACACGTATGTATGCATGCACGCTTATAACCGTGTAGTTCAGTGCATACGTATGCGTGTATGAATACGCGTATGCACACATACATGTGCATGGTTGTGTGTGTATGTGTATGTGTGTGTTTACGCATGTGTATGTGTATATGCATAGGTATGTTTACGTTTGTATGCGTATGCACATGCATGTTGCTGCATGTGGGAATATACATGTGTGTTTATATATGTATACATATATAGCTATATGTAGATACGCAGCAGCCCGCAGATGTGGATCAGAGGGAGGGGTCGGTGGGGACGTCGGCAGCCTGCGAGACTCAGCAGAAGCCCGCCGCAGGCGCCAAAGTTCCACAAATTATACAACGAGCCCGCTGCAGGCGCCGATGTGTTCTTCAAGCCAATGGTAAACGATTGGTCCAGGCCTTCCAAGACTTACGATTCTGGCTGCAGCAGCAGCAGCAGCACAGCTCCCTATGTGCTGCATGAGCTTTGGGGCACTTCGCTTCGAGGCACGGTGGCGGATGGCATGAGAGACTTGAAACTGGAATTGGAGCAGGGAGCAGCAAGCCTAACCCGCACAGCCTGATGTCCGCACAAGGAGGCCGACGGATGTCACTCCTGTTCCCTGGATGTCCAGCGTATTTTTGTTACGTGTTTGTTTCATCCGTGGGTCCTAGAGTTTTCGACACCTTCTCTGGGCCGGTCTTGATCATGTGTGGTTTTCTGGTGGTCCCAGGTCCCGAAAACGCACTCCTGGAGGCCGACATAAGAAACACGCTGGGATTCAGACGGACAACCCGCTGGGGTTCTGGGTCACCCTAGCTTCCCCTGCGGCCCTTCTCTTGCGGAGCGGCGCCAGGGGGTTTACCCCAGAGAAGATGGCCTCTGCGGCGGCGACCGAGGACGTCAACCGCGGCGCAGTGGCCTCAGCTGGCCCGTTGGCGACGACGATGGCGACGACAGCGACGACGGCGGTGACGTCGACGGCTCCGACGACGGCGGCCGCGACCGCGACCCATGACGACGACCGAGACGACCGGGGCGGCGACGGTGATTGCGGCGGCGGCGGCCTTCTTATTATTATGATTATCATTATTGTCTTGGTTATTACTATTACTACTCTTATTTTTACTAATCTTACTATGCATTATTATTTTTATTGGTATTATTATTTGTATGAGTATTATTAGTATTCTTGTTATTTGTCTTATCATGCTTCTTATGATTATTGGCCACCCGCGGCGGGGGGGGCGCGCGGGGCCCGCGCACGACGACCTCGACGGCGTCGGCGGCGGCGGCTGCAGCGACGACAGCGGCCACGTTTGAGGTCTGAGGGCTGAGGGTCTAGGCAAGATGATCGAGGTGTCGGTTTGATGTCTTTCGTTTTTTTTGTTATTCTCCCTGCGCGTCCCGGCAATGCCCTGCCGTGAAGAACCGCCGCGGGATCCAGGTTAGGGCGAGCCTCCTTGATAGGTCCAGAGTCGGTTCTGACAGGACGGTCGAGGTTCGTACAATTTGCGGGGCCTCGTTTGCCCTGGCATTGTTGGGTCTCCAGATGGCCTCGGATAGCCTCGGAACTAATTCGAATAGCATTGGCGTGGCTTCGGATAGCCTCCGATAGCTATGGAATTGCCTCGGTCAGTCTCGGATGGCTTCGGATATGGCGCAGGTGGCCGCGGCAAGGAGGGAAATTGATATCCCCTGTAAGTTCAACAGAAGGTCGAGATTCGAGGTTGCGAGATTGTTGTTGTGTTTCTTGCATTCCGAATCGACACAGTCGAACAAGAGAACACTGCATACACTTGAAGTTCGGAGGTCCGCGCTGAGTTCTCGGATCGGCGCTGTGCTTCCCTGGTGGCGCCTCGCGCCATCCAAAGCGTGCTTGGGCCGCCCTCCTTGGCGCGCGGAGCGACCCAGGGGTGGCGCTGGAGGCGCCGCCGAGGGGGCCCAGCGCTTACCCGAGAAATTCGCACGGATTTCCGAAAGTGTAAGTTTATACATTTTTCTTTTCAACGACCCAGACCTCCAGAGTCTTGCATAAATCAGGACGGGAATTCTTCACGATGTTTCTGCTTCTGAGCCCAGCCTTAGTCCCAGGGTGCACCAGGAGCGGGGGCTGGTGCAACTTCGTCTCGTGCATATATACTTTCGTGAGGCAAAATACATCGCTAGCCCCTGGTGCGTCAGGTGATCTAGTAGAATCCACTGTAAGCATGGTTTTTTCCTCCGGAAATACATGCCCCCTTCTCTTATAAGAATAATTATGCAAGGGCGTCAGGCTCTCTTGCTTGTTGGACCTCTGGGCATAAACATTGGACAATTCGCATCCGCATGGTGAGATCCAAATATGAAATTTCCTCGTAACGCTGAATTCCTCCACGCTGATATCGATGCCACAAACCCGGAAGTGTTCTGCCATGCCGTCGTGTATGATACGCGCCAGACACGCAAGCGCATCCCAATGCCCAGCGTTGCGAAGCTTTTCACAAACGATGCCGAATATTTGGTCTACATCCTCGTGGGTGTGCCCGATTGTGAGGAAAATCGAAGTGCACGTTAGAAATCGTTTAGTTAATACGAGCAGCGCCAAAAATAATCCAGTCACGCTGGTTGTGGCTTGGTTTGTTGGGTTGCTCGATTGGATGACTAGATGCTCAGGCATCTTCAGGCTCTCGCGGGCGGCGTGGAAGTGCACCACATCCAAAGTACGCACGGGGACCTCCAGGAAGGCATTTTGCCCATGATTTTCTGTTTCGTCGGCTAAATCCGCCAGCCCCGCTGCATCCAGCAGGGGACACAACAAGCGCCTCGATAGCACACAACTTTGAGGAAAAGTCAAGAAGGTCATAGTTATTGCAGGTCCAGCGGTTTGATGGCGAAGCCAACTGCTAAAAGTTAACACCCCATCCATGCGCCTGGGACGCAGCGATAGTCAGCACAGGCCGTACAAACCCTTCCAACTCTGTAGGCTGTTCACGAAGTTTCCTCAGGGGTATCGGCATCTTTGGTTTATCCATGCTATCAATTCTGCTAACCAGAACATTGCCCTTCAGTCGACTCTCGTGTCTCAGCGCCCAACAGATATATATATATATACACACACATACCTCCATCAGCGTACTGATTGGCGAAGTGCACCCTCAAGCGTTCCGCCACGACATATTTGTCTTGCAAGGAGATGTGAGTGGCCAACACGTTTCTGCATTTCCAACAGACTGTGCACATATAGTGTTCTTCAGTCCCCCGGAATCGTAGAAAGTTTCTCCACTTGCGATGCCAGGACCTCCAAAAAGTCATCCAAGAAGGTCGGCGGACCAGCGGCTCCAGCCATAGCGCCACAGTCGCGAGAAACAACCAACATAGATCGTGTAGACGGCCGTATTGGAGCATCCGCACAGGCGGGCGGGGGCCGCCGCTGCCCCCGACAAGTGGGTTCTGAATGAAATGTGGCAGCATGGAGGCCATGTCGCGCTCGCAGAAAGCAATGTCCAAGGGCCTGTTATCAGCCCCACTTTCAGTGCCGGCAGCAGAGAAGGCGCCGCCATCCGCGTCCTTGCTGCAATCCCTAAATTCATTCGGCGGTGGCCCCGCCGACGACATGTAAAGTTCCGCGAAAAATCTGTCGCGCAAGTGCACTGCCTCTCGGCTGCAGCGCCCCTGCAATTGCCTTCAGCAACCTGTGTTTCCGAATTCCGAGCAGCCGGTGGAACGCTTCAAAACGTGCGCTCTGGTCTTCCAGCGCCCATTGCGCGCGATTTTTCGCTGCGGCCCCAACGGCGTCAGGCGGCCCCAGAGCCGCGCCCCAAGGGTCATCGTTAGCGCCGCCGCCATCGACAGCTTGGTCGCCCCCATGGCTACGCTTAGCGCCACGGTGCTGCCAATCAAGTGTCGCCCCTTCATCTGACGGGCACAGGTTGTGGAAAATCGCAGTCGACAGGTAGTCCTGGGCCCCTCTCGATGGGGGAGGGGGGGGGGGGGCAAAACTCCGTGCAAATTTGGTATATGATATTAGCGCCGAAGAAGCCAGCGCAATTCTGGGCGCAGTTTCAACGGCCATTTTTTCAGAAGCGCTTGGATCCTTGACCGGGGGGCGCCATTCTGAGCAGCAGCTCCCACGAGCGCAGCAGGCCCCCCTGGCCCTGGTTCAACAGGGGATGCGAGGCGGAGCGCGGCCATGTCCAGATTATTTAGCCGGCGGCCAGCTCCAGCGCCGCCGCCGTCGCCGCCAGGAGGCGCCGCCAGCTCCAGCGCCTCCGGCCGGCCGTGCCGGGCCCCGGGAGCGGGGGCGAAGAACTGGGCAAGTCCTTGGGCCCCGGCCCAGTTGGCCCGGCGATGCTTCAGGCGCCAGAAACCGACCGGGCTGAGCCGGTCCAGAACCGAGTTGGAGTGACAGCGCGGAGCCCTTATGGGTCCATTTCGAATCCTTGAGACGTCATTGGAGTTCCATTGACTTCCTAGCGACGCTTTAAGGATTAAAACCTTCAATCTGCAACGCGTAAGAAATATTCGACCAGGCCCTGGGTGAAGAATTCAATGGATTCGCCACCAGACCCAAGCTTCTGGCGAATCTCTAAGCTCTACGACAGACTCCACTAGGGTTTCGGTTCGATCCAGACCGGAAGGAGGGCGCAGCGCGAACGGGCCAAGTTTTTTGAACCTAGAGATATCGATTCTGCTTCAAACTACTGACGGAGAGTCTTATCATGGATTCCTAGAGATTCGCTAGAGCCACCGCCGTGCGTCACGGGCACGCCCAACAATTAGGCACACCGCCCTCACGCTATTCATAGCTCATAGAGAGCTCCACCGAAGAAGGCCATTGTTTCACCGCCCCCATGCTGTCACGCACGCCCAACTGATTCGGCGCACCCCTCACGACGCTTCGAAGGCCCATTGATTGCCGCCGCCAGCGTGCGCCGCGCGCGCCAATTCGGCACACCCCTCACGCGTGGCGAGGCCCCAGTGGGGGCTCCACCGAAGGCCCCGCGCCACCGCCCGCACGACGGAGACGGAGGACCTGAGCACGGATAGGCTGACAACGAACGGACCAAGTTGAAGTTCTCGAGTTCTGCGCATGGAATCTGGATATCTAACGTGTGGGGTGGTCGTCCCGCGTCGCCTCCGACCAGAGATGTTTCGGCTCGAGCCCGCCCGTCGGTCTTGTCTTAGCGTCGCCCAGTTCGGCCGCCGCGATGGCCAGAAACCAAGGCACAAGGCGCCACTCTTGGGGCGCGGGCGAGGGGTCTCGGAGGCGGGGCTCGCCCGGGGAACCTTCGAGGCTCGCGCTGGAGCAGCGGGGGCAAACAAATCCTCTCGGGCCCCGTGCTGCAGGGGCGAGGACAACGAATCCTCGAGACACTCGCCGCGTCGGTCGGCAAGTCGGGGAGAAACGAACGGCGGCGGAAGCTCTGGTTAGTCAGCCTGCATCCTGCCGCCGCGCGTAGGACCTCTGGGCGGCCCAGGGGCGCATGTGAGGCTTCGGCCCACGCGATGCGATAGTGCGACGCTTGGGAAACGACGAAGGCGTTTATTTTAATCGACAGCGGGAGGCTGGCGAAGGCGCTAATAATCGACTTGCGCGGCAGAGGGCGACGGGGATCAAGCGCGTCTAGAACTCCGGGCCAGACTTCGCATGCTGGATGGAGCTCAGACGGGGCGCGCCCGGCGCTAAGTTTAAGCTCAAAAAGGCAAGTTGGCTTTGGAGTTGGACGGCAGGGCGAATCAGAATCAGCAACAGGCGATGCGACACGCGGAGCAGCAGGTTTTGCACGGGCTTTCATCTCCAGCATGTTGTTCGGGGAGACTGCTGCCATCCACGACGAGGGGGGGTTGCTGGCGACTCGTTGATTAGGGGTGCCGAGGGGGCGGAGGAGTCCAGCGGGGCCGCAGGCTCCGCCTCGGGCTAGTGGCGCGCGCG